GTTGTTACTTACCTTTGCATCCACCCGCCCTCCTTTTATCTAGAGTGGAAATATGTTTTACAGTTGAAATTGTTTGTCCATCCATCTACAAGAGCTTAATCTCTACTCTGGGTGGAGAGTCTATTCCAATTGATATTGGATATAGTTGTGTTGGTCTGAAAGCTGTTTTGTCAACCCACAATCACTGAAGGAGGAAAATAAATGGATTTGGTGGCAGATTGTTTTTGTCCAAGCCATTTTCAAGACGGACTTGTCAAGAAAAGCTGGATATTGTTGAAAAAGGTGGAGAAGCTATGAAGCTTGCAAACCTGTTACAAGAGGGAAAACATGGCCATTGCTTCTGGTGGGCGGACATTTTCAACCTTAAAGCAAATTAAAACTTTAAAAAACACGACAGAGCAAGCTCGACTCTCAGTTTTAGCTCTGATGGCAACAGAAAATGACTTCTTGATTAAACTGATAAACAACAATAATCTGTTCGACAGAGCAGTTGAACTCATCTTGAGGAAAAAAGGGGGATTTTGTGTACAAATAGGATTTTTCAGAGAAAAAAAAAAGCTACATTCTGCATAATAAGATGGTTATTTAGCCATGAAATGTTTATTGAGCAACGGAATTGATTTAGATGGGGCACCAGTGAAGGCTTAGGTGTGTAATGCACGGGCCGCCCCTGTAATTCAGTAGTAATTTCACTAATGGTATTTGGGGGGAACTAAACAAGAGAAAACTCTGGAGTACAGCGAAGAAATTCTTGACAGCCTGACACGTTAAATTGACGAGCGTTTTGAAAGGATCATCATGGGACAACCAAACCAAACTTTGTCAGCTGATAAATCGAGTAGATTCGCAACGAAGATTAACATAATGCATGGTCTCGCACTGGATAGGAATCGACGGACATTTTGATATCAATAGACAACAAATTGTCCAGTTTTGACGCACATCTGCCCCTCTTAGAGACTGTATATAGAACATTTAAGGCACTACATGAGTCTCTGGACTTCAGCCAGCAACAGACTACAGAATGCAAGCAAATTTTCTGAAAAAAACAAAAAATCAAAGAAATAATCAATGGATCCCGGAGACTGGTGAGGATCCTGAACTTTTGTTAAAGGACTTTATGAAAACAGTGAAGAACATTATCTGGATGGGAAGATACCTGCTAGCAGACCAAGACCCATCGTGGCCATCTTTGAGCACCTTAACCAGAAGGTCGTAGTAAGGAACCTGTCCAGGGTCCTGTTCCCCTTCCAGAAAAGGTTCATGGAAGGAGGCTCCCATGCTGTCGTTGTAGTGGATAGATTATTTGTCAATGGGAAGTACTTCCATGACCAGGAAACCACTCTGTGCCTCTCCTAGTTCCTATTGATATCTGTTCAATCATATCTCTGTAATCAGGTCTAACTATGTATGCCCAGTATGTACATGCATAAATCTGTAGTATTGTATTTTACTTACAATGAACTGTTAAGATAGACATACCACTGCCGGTCTCATAGCACAAAGCATTTTTGTTTGCGGGTGATGTTCTATTTAGGTTTGCAAAGGGCTATATACTCTTTTTCATATATATATATATTTTTTTGTCTTTCTAAATCCACTTGCTCCATTTCCACTTCAACGAGTTTGTTTTAAGGTCAACTTGCAAGGCAAACATAATGTTCTTGCCGAGAAACACCACACTGATGAGTTGCTCACACGTCAGCCACAGATGCAAACATGCATTTGTATTGTGCACACAACTGGATTCACACGCCCTCACAAATGTTTTGAGTTAGTAACAGAATATCCACGTTAAGGCTTGTTTCGTGGAACATGCATGGTCCAGAGAGAAGAGATGAAAAATATCCAATATTCGCTCTATTACAGGAGACTCATCTGTCTACAGGTTATGTTCTCTCTAAAGTGAGAACATACACAGTTCCTCCATGTGTATTCAGTAGGTTACGACTCCAGGCAAAGAGGGGTAGCAATTCTGACAAACAGAAGAGTAACTTTTGCTTTACACAGCAAAGTTATAGATTCTGAAAGTAGGCTTATGGTAGTTAACTTGTCCATCCAAGATATGAACCTGTGTATTGATAGTGTTTACGGCCCAAATGTTGATGACCCCTCGTTCTTTCACTCTTTCTTCCTGAGGGGAATTCAACATGGGATTTGACTCAGGAGTCGATAGCGCAGTAACAGCAGAAGTTGTGAAACAGAACATGAGTCATTTTGGTCTTTGTATTGCATGGTTCACTTTATTTTCCCTATCACACTCTGAAAATTCACTTTCTTCTCTCCATTACACAATTCATACTCAAGAATAGATTATTTCCTAATTAATAGCTTCAGTGATAACACATTAGTTTCTACATGCCAAAGATTAAAGAAGCACACCACTAACTAGGAATGGGAGATTTAATACATCCTTACAATCATTTCTTAAAGACATGGATTTCATTAATTTTCTCAAAAGGGAATGGTCTAGATATCCGGAAAATAACGACTTACAAGGATTGTCAGCTTGTACTCTCTGGGAAGCTGGGAAAGTAGTAATGCAAGGCAAAATAATACATTTTTCATCAAATAAAAAGAAAATCTCAAGAATTTCTGAATAAGAACTCAGGATTACATCAATAGAAACAAAGACAAAGAAACAAAGAAACAATTAAAGAAAGCCAAACTTGAGTTCAGTCGGAGAGCTCCATCCAGTCAAATATTCAGGAAATTGCACAGTTTTTGTTTTTTACTGTAGATGAATAATGTAAAAATGAAAAATCAGGTGAGGAACCAAGTTAAAACAAGCACCAGATATGTCGGATGGCCAACACCAGCACATAGAATCATACTTAAGCCCAATGGAGTGATGATTAAAGTTGACAATTCTTCCCTACATTTGTTACCAGACCATGTACATTAAAGGACCGGTCAATTAAGGCTTCGTAGATAGACATTTTTAAAGTGTCACAGTGACTGAAAGTTGAGGTTCAACGCCAAATCGTTTTTCACCAACTGAGTTTAGACAACTTGTGTTGTTTATGTTTCTTAGTTCAGTTTTTTTCATGTTTCAGTTTCCTGTTTTTTTATCTTAGTAATCTTTGGGTTTTGTTCTTTGTTTCTGGTTTCCTCTTTTATTCTCGTACCTGTGTTTCCCTGTCTCTCCATCAGCATCATTCATGTTGCTCAGTTTCCTCTGGCTTGAATCCTTTCACTTATGTTCTCATTCTCGTGTGCACTAAATTCCACTAATCACTCTCCCATCATTTCACTCCATGCCAGATCCATGACGTTATGATACCATATCTCCTTTTTGATTTCCATCTGTCCTGTTTCATGGTCTTCGTCCCAGTGAGTTATTTTTTATTTTTTATTTTTTTCACAGTTTAGTTAGTCCTGTATCCAGGTGCGACTGCACCTTTCGTTGTCCTTGTTGATAAATGAGTTTTTCATGAGTTCCTGGCTCCCTTTCTTTCCCCCCCGGGTCCCTGCAACTGGCCCCACCCCTTCACCCCCCCCCCCCCCCCCCCAGTGGTGACACACAGTTCATCATCGCTGGATTGACTCCCTCTGACACCACATGCTAACATCAGGCCCTTCCAAGCACACATATTCAAGGTTACACAGTGAAGAATAACTAAGTTTACACCAAAAACGTCACAAAAACATCAGATATCTACAAAATAATACAAAGTTACTGGTCTGGTTTGCAAAAGAGCTGTTTTGTTTTATTTGTATTGTTTAATTGAATAGGTCTGAAATGTGTCATTCACTGTCTCTGACTTATTTTCTAATTACTCTTTATTACAAGAACTACAGCATTAGGAGGGATGGTTTTGAATGAAGATTGAAGATTTTGAACAAAGATGGATGGAATCTATATGTTGTATATCACAAGATACATATTGTACCTGTAGCCTATATATTTTTACATTCACTGCATTTTTAAAAGAATTTCTGGCTTATTTCATGGATTATGTTCACTTAAAGAAGTGAACATTATTTTTTTTTCAATCATGAATTTAATCATTGAAGAAAAACCCTTTCATGCTTGAGTAAATATGATATAAAATGCCTTGGTTGATGCAATAATGAATGATTTGTAATTTCAATTGGCCATGTAGGAGATACTAAAAATTCATACAAACCTTTTGGTGAATGAGGTTAGAAATATATCAAATGCTTTTAAAAATATAAAGTCTTAAATCTACCCTGAAATGCTGCCAATGATTTGGCAGCATGATGATTTTTCTATTCAGCTGTATATAATCACAGCTTTTGTGAATGAATCGGTGCAGGAATAGAAAATAAAAAATTTAGTAAGTAACAATAAGTTGATGATGTTTCATGTTTGTCTCCGCTGGCAGGTTTCCCTGTCTACAACAATCTTGATTTAAAATATGTTACATAATTTATGAATAAATTAATAATAGATTACGGACAAAAAATTACATCCACCCTACAATTTTATTTCACAGTTGAATACTCTTAAATTAGAATTTCCTCTGCAATTTAGAGAAGTTGGATCTTAGTCACGTCAACTTTATTTATCAAAGTTATTGTCTTTTTCTTTGTTTTATAAATGCCAAAGCAGTTTGAAAATATGTATAAATGCAGACCAGACCGTGAGAAAGGGTGTTGCTACAATGAGTAAATTCATGATTATTGAACAAAAAAAATGCTTTGCACAACCAAACTTCTTTCTAATTAGCACATCAATCTCCTTCATGTTTTGGAGTGCCTCCAGGTTCTCTCCTGTGTGATGTGCTAAGCAGTTGTTTGGTCCACATCTTTCCCACGCTCAGTATCTCTCCCCCTGCCTCTATCACAGATTATCAGAAGTTTGTTAAGAATCATTATGATGTTCATGGAACATAATCACACAATACATGGTCATATGGCTTTACCCTCAATTTCTCATTAATCTGTTCACGCTTGATCAAATAGACTAATTATTTCCATTTCAGGCTGCACACATTCAACTCAACCATGACTAATAAGTCTTTTTTTTCCCATGCATGTCTCTTGCAGATCCCAGTGATAGCGTGTACAGAATGAGGCTGCTGTGGAAATCCCTGGACAAGATGAGGTGTCTGAGGAAACGTTCCACGATCCCCTTTCTCGGCTTTCTCATCACCTTCCTCCTTTTCTTGAACCTCTACATTGAAGACGGCTACGTTCTGGTTAGAAAATACCATTGTATTTTAAAAATTGGCACTTTCTCAAGCTACTAAAAAAATTATGCTGACGGTTCACGTACTACAGCGTTGCAATTCTCGCTGTCTTGCCAATGGTGCTAGTTTTACAAGACGGCTTGAAATGTAAGTATTTGATTCAGCCAAATTCCAAGCAGTCAGGGGACATTGATTGCCTGATGTTGACATGTTTATAATTGCTGCCTGCTGCTGGTTACAGATGATTTATTTCTTAAAATACGGTGGTCAACGTACATTTTCTGTGTGTGTCACTGGAATCACAAAAAGGCAGTTCGCATTCTCAACCCTCGATGCTTGTGCCTAACTGGAAAATGTAAGTTTTTGTTTGCTTTATAAAAACTGTTTTTTGGTCATTTACACCAGGATTTTTAATGTTGTGTTTCAGGATGATAAAAGGCAGCTCAGGGAAGCCTCAGTCCATCCTCCAAGCTCAGAGCGATACGTTCACACCTTCAGAGACCTCAGTAATTTCTCTGGAAACATTAATGTTACATACCGCTATCTCGCTGGAACCCCACTGAACCGCAAAAGTAAGACATGAGCTTATTAACAAAATTGTCTTTTTATTGACTGAATTTCTATTTGTGATACTGAGCAAAGTACAGAAAATCAAATTTGTACCTGTCCTGGATGTAGAATTGAAAAAAAGGTAACTGCTCCACAAAAATGTTTTGCCTGAACATTGAAAAGATAGGAAATACAAAAAATGTATATCTCAAGCATGTGTTCTTAAAACATCTGTTCTTTAGTTTTCATCCACACGTCTTCTGAGATTCCACAAGGATTTTGCTAATCAGCAGCCACTCAATTGGTTATGGCACAAACAGAATAAAATTGAGCTAATAATATGTGGTTTACTTTAGAAGATGAGGACAATAATGGGACCTGAAAGCTTAAGAAAATAAAGAGTTGTGTCAAGACCATGCACACATAATTTTAGGTTTACTGTACCAAGTTGAGTTTTTGAGGGGACAAAAAAGGTCTCGTAACCCATTATGGCATTCTTGTTTGCATTCTGCAAGTACCACGTTCAGTCATCAATAAAATGCTGTTTTTTTTTCACAGAATATCTCACCATTGGATTGTCATCAGTCAAAAGGAAAAGAGGAAACTACCTGCTGGAGACCATCAAATCCATCTTCGATCAGTCCAGTTACGAGGAACTGAAGGAGATCGTGGTCGTGGTCCATCTGGCAGACTTTGACCTGGCCTGGTGTGAGAACCTGGTCCAGGAAATAACACGAAAGTTTGCTCATCACATCATAGCCGGGCGCCTCCTGGTCATCCAGGCCCCGGAGGAGTATTACCCCTCTCTGGACGGGTTGAAAAGAAACTATAACGACCCGGAGGACCGAGTCCGATTCCGCTCTAAGCAGAACGTGGACTATGCTTTCCTCCTGAACTTCTGCACAAACCTGTCTCACTTCTACATGATGCTGGAGGATGACGTGCGCTGCTCCAGGAACTTCCTGACTGCTCTGAAGAAGGTCATCACATCCAGGGAAGGTTCCTACTGGGTGATGCTGGAGTTCTCCAAGCTGGGCTACATTGGGAAGCTGTACCACTCCAGAGACCTGCCCCGTCTGGCTCACTTCCTCCTCATGTTCTACCAGGAAATGCCCTGTGACTGGCTCCTCATCCACTTCAGGGGTCTGCTGGCCCAGAAAGACGTGATCCGCTTCAAACCCTCACTGTTCCAGCACATGGGCTACTACTCCTCCTACAAAGGAGCAGAGAACAAACTGAAGGATGACGATTTCGAGGAAGACTCCATAGACATTCCTGACAACCCTCCTGCCAGCCTCTACACGAACATCAACGTCTTTGAAAACTATGACGCCACCAAGGCTTACAGCACGGTGGACGAATACTTCTGGGGGAAACCCCCCACGACGGGAGATTTCTTTGTGATAGTCTTCAACAAATCCACCAAAATGAGCAAAATTAAGATCGCTACGGGGTCTGATGACCGGCAGAATGACTACCTTCACCATGGCGCTCTGGAAGTAGGGGAGAAACTAGTTGGGACTAAGAAAGGGAAACAGTGTTCCTCTTACATCACGTTAGGGGAGTTTAAAAATGGCAACATTGAGGTTCAAGACATTGACCACAAAATTGCCTTTGACATTGAGTGCATACGCATTGTTGTGACTGCCAGTCAGAAAGAATGGCTCATTATTAGAAGCATAAGTTTATGGACTACACAACCGCCTAGCCAATGAGGACAATACACAAGGACTAAGTAGAGTCAAAGATTTTTATTATTTTGAATGGTGTGTTTCTTAAGGTTTATTTATTCATTTTATATGTATTTATTTATATTCATTTTTACTTAAGCAATCTCTTTGTTTTTTTATCTTATTTTCCATTTTAAAAGTTGCAATCTTTGTGAATTATATTCATTCTCAAAGATGAGATGTTCAGTTAACCCTCAGCTGTACTTTATATTGTATTCATGATACCTTGTAGCCTTTACCTGATTGCAATTTCCATCACTGGGCTGGATGATGATTCAGTATTATGATAAAATAACAATCCTATCGTGATATTATCATATTATATTTTCATATAATAGCTTATCTGAACCAGAATTGAATACCAGAATTGGTAAATATTTCTGCTTTCAGCAGTACAATGGTGTGGTGGTTGGTTCCTTTATCCACACAACAAAATTCTTCTGAGTTCACACCTCAGATGGAAGCTTTTGGTATGGATTATGGATGTTCAACCTGTTCCTCCATGGAAATTTCTGCCCTCCTCCTCCCACAGTCCAGTTGTTAACTCTAAATTACCTTTAAGTACTGCAAATATTATTGACATGACATGTCAATGATATTATTTTGTTTCTGTTTTGAATTGGCAAACTGTCCGGGTAGTACTTTTTCTCCAGGGACAGCAAGGATAAGTTCTTAACCAGGATAAAGGGGATTAGAGAAAATAAATGGACATTCCATCCTTTCCAACCATAATCAAATCCCATGAAAAACACAAAGCCAGTCAAATGTGTTATTTTAATTCTGTCATATCCATTGTTCAAAAACCCTGTTCAATTTCATTCAGGCCATTGTCTAAAAGGGGTTTAAGTCTCCTGGAGTGACACTTTGGAACAATCAGTAATAACACAAGACGTCCCTTGAAACATAATCCCATTTTTTTTCAGAAATGAAATAAACCAAAGGACACAAACATTGAGCAAATGCAGCAGGTACTCGAGGAGGTGCTGTGAGACAAATACAAACTGAGATAGTTAAACGAAAGATTTAATGACCAGAGGACAGGAATACTGAATGAACCGTTCCCTGGTGGTCAGGTGGGCCAACTTGTGTCCAGTCTCTGAAACAATGCAGGGCCAGACAATAGTCCACTTTTCACAGTTTTTTTTGCTGTTTCTACTCATTAAAGCCACAAAAAGAAAAAGGCTGCCATAGAAAACAGTCCCAAACTAATTTAGTATTTCCTCCAGTGAGATTCTCCCTAAAAAGAAAACTACAGCATCCTGCTGTTTGTGTAATGTGCTTTGTTTGAAAAACATAGAAAAACTTCAGGACATCATTCTGTCTTGGAGCTAATGTGCTTCAGGCAAAGGCAAAGTTTTTAAAGCATTTTGAATCCGATAGAACAGTGTAGATTTGGGTATTTTTATTGGATTTTCTGAAACAATAAAGGAACCAGAATTTTCATTTGTGGCATTCTTTTATGATTTAAAGGAACAAGGAAGGACAAGGAAAGAAGTGTTGTTACTGGTTTTGTTTCACTTATTTACATTGATGTAATCCATCAAACATCACAGTGAACAAGGTCATTGATGTATTGCTGTCCATGCATTTGTCGTATTATGTATTAAGCGGTCAGTTTCTCATCTCAGTCATTTGATATTATGATATTCATTACAGCCATGATGACAGATTAATTTAACTTATTTATAACTCTGAAGGCTCCTCAGAAAAGTGAGAAAATCAAATACTGAACATGTCTAGTTTTGGGAACAGTGTTACACATACAGTATTTACTGTGTTTGTTAGGTTTGTTGAATATTTTGAATTTATAATTCTTTTTATAGTGAAGGAGAAAATATATTCAGGCTAATAATAAAAGATTTTCTTTGAAAACATTCAGTCAAATACACAATGTTTTCAGCTCTTTATTAAAACAGATATTTGGCAGACGGTTTCTCTCGAACAACATCCATTCAATGTTTTTTTTTCTCCTTGGAAACTTTCCAGGAAGTGCCAGAGGTAATTGCTTTCTTGATTACTGGTCATATCACACCAAGCTCTCTCTGTTTCTATTTTTTTTTTCCTGCCTTTTTTCACATCCTTTGACGTTGCTCTTAGTCGTCTGAACTCTTTTTGGTAGAACTGTGTGTTCTGCCCGGCATGCTCTCAGCAAAACAATATTTGCTTTACACCCATCAGTTGCAGTGAGGAAGGGATCAGGTTTCCTAATATATTTTCTTTTTCTTTTCTTTTCTTTGTTCTTCTTCAGCAACAATATCCACCCCCACCCCACACCGACCCCCTTAAATTGGTTTGTGTTTGCCTCTCTCTCTACACCAGCAAAACAACATCTTATCCGGGGCAATAAGATCTCAATTCCTCCACATCACGCATGTGGCTCTCTCACAGCTTCACTCCTGCATTTCCTGTATACCTGCCCTTCTGTGTTCTCTGTTCTCCATTCCCACACTCTACAGCAGCTCAAGGGTAAAATCATCTGCCTCTCTTCTGAAGACGCTTTTTTTAATGTTTATCTTTTTAATCTCCACCTTGCTCTGCACTATTTTGTTACACAACTGACATTAGTGAGAATAATGACACTAAACGCACCATCACAGGGATGTTCAAAGCAATTTGGAACCCCAATTTGAAAATGACCCTAACATTTTCCATGTTTTCTTAACAAGATACTTTGGACAGCAGGCTAATTTCTACCCTGAAATGACCCACCCATGCAATACAAGAGATTAATGTTTACATGACAACCACATTCTTAAACAGCTCATTAAACATGCAGCAATAATTTGGTTTGGCGTTGTTCTGCTGCCGTGGCGTCCACCTGTTCCTCGTTTTCCATTTAAGGTCTCGTTGAGATCCTCCACAGATGGACATGTACCACCGCCTTGAAATCATTCCTCGGCAAATCCTCCACATCCAATCTAAAATTAAATTAGAACGCCCACCGGTCCCACTGAGGCTCATTGTTTTTTTTCTCATCCTATCTCCTACTACGCCACTGCTCATTCTAGCGGATGTCTCCATGACCTGCATGGATCAGATCCTCAGCACGGTTGGAAGGCTTGGGGGGTGAACTGTACTGCACTTGCCTGGTTTTACCTGCCTATAAGCTCTTACCTAGGAGTCTCAATCTCCAGTCCCAGAGGGCTGCTGTCTTCCACGTGGTAGATATTTCCTTCATTGTACCTCGTTCAGAACAATAGGCCATTAGCACGCCTGTGCTAGAGCTTAACAATGTTTTGAATAGATCCACTTCTTCAGAATCAGGTATTCAGAAGCAGGGAAACATCTAAAAAAAAAAGATCTGCAGAGCAGTGGCCCTCCAGGGCCAGAGTTTGAGATCCCTGCTCAAAGCACATGATGTCACAATTGGACACGTTACTGTAGCTGTTCTGTGGTGGAACCGGCTGGCTTTGGCTCTCCACCTCGTCCAAAGCTGCGTTCCTGATATTTCTGGGGTAAAAACTGCTGTCTGATCTTTATTTGAAGGAAGATGCTGGCCAAAACATATGTAGCTGTGCAATGCATATTTATGGATAGATCTGTATCTTAAGGAGAGCAACAAGAGCTGCATAAACTCCTCAAGTGGATGCCAGAAAAACTGCTGCACACAGCATTCTGCGTGCCCGGAAGCGTTTGCAAACCTCAACTTACACACAGCCTCAGATGAAGTGTGAATAGGACAAGTGTACTCTGAAACCGCTCTGTCCTCAAGTCAGAATTAAACTGCATCGACAGACCTCTGTGACGAAAGGGGGAATTGTTAAACCCACATCATGAGTTGGTTATGTGCCCAGTATCCAAAGCTCTGTGCAGGTGATGAATGTGAATTTGATATGTGAGTCTCGAGTTATTTGAAACGTGAGCTGTCTTCCAATGGAGCATGTACAAAGTGCATGAACAAAAGCATTTTCAGTGGATAAAACAACTCCTTTTTTAGGTCAGGGTCTATGATTAACTGTTTGGCGTCTTCTAATGAAATTATACTAGGTGTGTGTGTGAAGGCCTATTGAAACTTACCTTACAACAGGTCCATGTGCTGTGTATTGTTAAGTGGAGCGAGTGCGTCAAAGTTGTTGTTTTCGTGTGCGTTTTCCTTTCCATCGTTCTCCAACCGGTACTGTATTGTAAGATGACATATATTTTTTTACACGTGTCATTTCAAATGTTGTATATATTGTATTCAAATTGAATTAGAATAAATGAACGAATGCCAACTTTGTTGTCTATTGACTGCTGAGATATACAACTTTGTGCAAAGGGAGCTCCAGAGAGCACAACATATTGAGTATATGTCTACAGCGTCAGGGCTTGGATATCGGTTTGAATGCGTTGTGGAGAGCAACACTATTTACACGACCCTGAATCACAAATGTTGTCCTTTTTTTTTCTGTGCCTGGAAAAAATGCTTTGTTTCGGTGTAAAACTGTTCAGTATGAGTAGAACATAAAAAATCACGGTGTACGTTTTGAATAAAATTTTTCAAAAGATACCTGACATTTGAAGTTCCTTTAAGCTTGCAGCAGTACCGAGCCTGCTCGACACAGATCACGCTGTAGCCAAAAGCAAAAAGCATACATTATTCATTTCAATATTCATATGCCTTCTGTTTTTTTTTAAAACTTGCATCCCTAATGACGGTGTGGAGACAATGCTTGGGGGGATACTGCACTGTTTAAATCTTCATGCTTTTTTATGTCTTTGTCAAAAGGGGTCATATATTTTCTTAAAGTGCACACTCGGATGACAACAGCAGTGCTGTTTATAAGGCTTTATGGACACCAACCGCTAGGGTTTGTGTCACTGAGATCCCATCTTTATGGAGTTTTACTCAGATGGAAAAAAATACTATGCACTTATGTAAAATAAATTCAAGTAAGTGCATTTAACCATGCATTCTGTCACCAGAAGCTGAAGGTTTACACACATGCATCTGACAGGCAAACAAAGATTCCAGCTTAGCTCTACGTTGCCAGACCTGGCTGTGC